TTGAAAATGGGGGAGATACAAATTAAAACAAGAGTGAGGAAATATTTTTGCACACAATTCTAACCAAAATTTAAAGGAATGATAAAACATATTTGAAAGTAAAGAATATTCACATAAAAAATTGAGCATGTAAATGGTATGGCATTTTTGAAAATTTCAGCAATATTTATAAAAACCTGAAATATTCAGACCCTTTGCATTTTAAGCTTATAGCCACGCTGTTCGCTACGGTCACCTCTGAGTAGGAGGCTGAAATTTGGAAGGACTTCACAAAGGAGGCAGTTATCTACTTTTAGAATTTTTTTCCAAGAGAATACATGCATTATATACAGGATTATGTTTATAATTAAGCTATTTAAATACACCTAACAGCAGATAACGTTGCTGTGTATTAGTCAGTTGAAGTAACTGCAAGCTGATGAGACAGAGAAAAACTGAAATACGAATGGCTTAACATAACAAAAGTCTTTTTGTGCGCATATAAATTTGGATGCAGTTGGGCAGGAGATCTCCTCTATCGGGTGACTCAGGGATCTGGGATACTTCAAGATGGTAGTCCCACCATCTCAACACAGGGATGCTATGCTTGCTGTTGAACGAAATAGGAAGGCTGGAACTGTCATACTGGCTCCCGGATGTCTGGATGTGACACTATTTCTGATCAGTTCTCAGTGACAACAGGTAGATGACACTTCCTAACAACAAGTGAACTGACAATGTAGTTTTCCCATACGCCCACAAAGGAGAGGAAGACATAAAGTGGACGAGACCTTGTAATCTCTCCCATACACTGTTACATATTAGGTGCTAAAAGAACAATTATAATTTGTTATGACAATGACCTCCATTTCTTGGAGGAATTTCTGAGAAGGTCAAAGTTGCCTTAAATTCCCCAACTTTTTCAATGACTACCATGTGACAGGAGATTTCAAATTCAGGATCACGTGTAATTTCCATAGGATCCTGTAAATATCAGTTGAGTGGGTTTGCTATCTTCCCTCAATAACTCTTTTTTACACTTCCCTTTGAGATAACCTATATAAACTCAGTTGGCTCAGAATTATCTGTTTTCTTTTGATGCATGTCCAAAATCTTGTGAGTGTCTGTTACCCTCTACATGACTGAACATACCTGAACACCTATACAGGTGCCATCAAGTACACTGAAAATGATTATTTTCCTGGGGTACAGACACACAGACATGAAACAGTGGGGGGGGGGAAGATAATTACATTTAATTTGTAATTAGGATGAGCATGTATACATAGAAACCATTTTTCACCTACAAGGGGGCTCCAAGTTGGGGGAATTTAGCCTCTGTAGATGTTTGCTCAACAGTGATTTCCATGGTCTTCCTGCATCTACCACTTATGAAGGAGGCATTGGGATTTGACCCCCTAGGTAAGCTGATCCATCCATGTATGTGTTCAGTGGCGATTTTCAAATAACACACCCCATTAAACTCCTGCTGTAAACAGCAGGTATTCTAAAAAACCTTCTTTCTAACTTCAGGGTGACATCCCCAAATTGGTAGATTATGGGCCCAATCATACTGTACTCATTGATTCATTTGGAAAGCATGTTAAGAATGTGCTGAAGACATCCAGCAGGATGTCCGAGTATCTAAAGGTCACTGTTCAAATTCAAAGAGATTTTTCCATCAGAGCAGTTCCAGGGTGAAGGATGGATGATCAGTACTTCAGCAGGGAGTAGAAATGTTCTAAGCTGGGGGCAGTGGGGGTGTAGGGGAGAGGTAGGATATTTGGGGCTGTTCCACTGTGAGTGGCCGCAGCCTTCAGAGGAGGCAACAGTGAGAAGCTGGTCAACAGGCCAGAATCCAGGGATGGACAGGAGGCCACACAGGGGAAGCCCAAGGGAAGGGTGCTGTCATGTGGAAAAATGCATGGACTGGACAGAAATGCCAGCATCTCAGCTTTCAAGGGACCCTGGGACGTGGGCAGGAGGAACCTTGGTAAATAAAGGCCACAGACGATACCCAGATTGTGTTTGATTCACACTGTCACCTTCCTTCCTTAGGCCTGCTTTTAGTGCCTTGGCCCCAGGGTCCCTCTTTTTATTGCCTGAGAGACATCATGCAGTACTGAGAAGAAAAATGATTTATGAGTCAGAAGGTTAGGCACAGTCTGGAATGGGTGGGAACAGCATGGACTTTAGAAGAATTCAGACCAGGGATCCAATCTCTGCCTGTCACTTACTAGCTATGTGATCCTGGGGATATTAGCTGTCCCTAAGAGCCCCAGGTTCTTCATCTGTGAAGTAGGTGGATTTGATAAGCCCTGTCTCGCAGGACTGCAGGAATGTACGGAGTGTTTGTAAAGCACCTCCCACAGTGCCCGGTGGAGATAGGAACTGTGATGAATGGCAGTTATTTTTAATATTATATTACCCCAAGCCCAACTATCCTCTACTCTGGAAGGGTTCCTGTTGTTGTTCTTGTTGTTATCTACTACATCTCAGGGAGCATGTAGCTCAGCAGGATATGCAATACTAAACTAGCCAAAGACATGGATGGACCATGAGAACATTATGCGATGTTAAATAAGTCAAATGGAGAAATCTAAGGAACTATATGATTTAACTCATATGTGGGATATAAAAGTGAAACTTATGTACACAAACAGCAGTGTGGTGGTTGCCAGAGTGAGGGGGGTGGAGGAAGAAAGGGGTTTCAATATCAGGTGACAGGAGAAGATTTGACTTTGGATGGTGGGCACATGGTCTTATATACAGATTTTGTAAATTAGTAATCCACACATGTAACCTATATGTTCATGTCGACTCATGTCACCCCAATAAAATCCTACATACTAAAAAAAATTAACTAGACAAAAACTCGGCTTTGTAAATAAAGCTCAGTAAATGTTACTTCCTTCTTGCAGGATACATTTTAAAATTTAGGGGTGGGGGAGCCTTTCCCAGCTGGATGCAATTTAAAGTTCCATGAAATTGAGTCCAAGACCAACTCTGTCCGTCCCCAACAGCTGCTCTTCCATCCAAACCATTATTTTCATTCATTTTACTCCCAACAAAAATCTATACATTGCTTAGAATTGCCCAAGTTACATGAAAGGTAATGTAATGAAATGGAGTCAGCTCTGGCTACCCCAGGGCATGAAAAGGGGTGCCAGGCACAACATCTGAGAGTCTGGCTGCTGCCACCACTCAGGTTCATCACAATCAACGTCCACAGAGGGAATCATTGTTTCCCAAACACCAAACTTCCCTGGCTGAGGCCATTTACACTTGCGTGCTGTCCCCTCGAGTCCCACTACCTCTCCCCTTCTTTTGCTTCTTCTGTGCCACTTAGGGGACACCTCACCCCCTTCCTTATAAGACTTCAGCACCTACACTATCATCCTGTGGGTGGGTGTGCCCTGCTCTTTCCAGTGGGCACAGGATCAGTCAATGTCTGGGGAATAAATGAATCACTGAGCAGGGGTGGTCTTCATTCAGATTAAATGTATCCACTTTCCTGAATGAACCAAGCAAACCCAAGGATGCTTATGTAAATTTGTCTCATAAAAAGACAGATGAGAAGGGATAAGAAGCAAGAATCAACAACCTTTTGCTTTTATTTTTCTATTTCGTGACTCCATCGATTGCACCGCTGAATTCTTACACATGTCCAAGGAAATCCTGTTCTGATACTATGTCATCTAGTTTGGGATTACAAACTAAGCTGAAAGGTGTTCCACTTTGTGTTACACAGTAGCAAAACTTCTCTTACACCTTTTTTGTTGTTGTTAATTCTCACAGGAGGATATTTGTCTCTCATTGATTTTTACAGAGAGTGGAAGGGAGGGGGAGATACAGAGAGAGAAACGTCAACGTGAGAGAGACACATCCATTGATTGCCTCCCACATCGTAGGTATATGCCCTTGACTGGAAATGAACCCGAGACCCTTCATTCCTAGGGCCACACTCCAACCACTGAGAAAATCTGGCTAGGGCAGCAGATCTATTACTCTTGAACTGGACAAGTACAAATACATGTGTGACCAATGTCTTTCATACACTTAAATGCTGAAGCTTATGAAACCTTCTATAAAAAAGAACATTTGAAAATTCCTAAAGGAATCAAGGATACATTTCTAAATCATCACAGGAACCCAAAGATGCCACAGCCCTTATTCCCGCAACTCGCCCTAGAACTCACGACCTAGAACACTGACTGCCCTCTTCTCAAAGCAGAGGAAAGAACTAGCCTCACATCATGTCCAGCAGGAGAAGCTGCCAGACAAGGGCCTGGAATGTGCTTGGGTGTAACTTGGCTCAGACCCCCCTCTTCCTCACCACTCAGAGCCTCTTCACACAGGGATAGATTGGAATTGGGATCCCTTCTATAAACCCTGAGCAAAAACTCCAGGACTTTCAACTTGGTGGTCTCAGCGTGGGCCCTGGGGCCCCACAGGAACTGGTAGCGAGCAGGATTGCTGTTGGGCACCTGCCGGTACTCCAGGTACTGTTCCTGCACCCAAACTTTGGTGAGGAGCTCCCTGGGCTCCCCATAGAGCCAATGCTCCTTCCCGTCATGCACACCCCTGACATGCAGGGCTTTCCAGACTTCCTCCTCAGAGGCACAGTCGCCCTCTGCGGCAATAAGCCACAGAAGTGTGACCAGGAGGCCAGTGTTGGGAAATCTGTGCCCATCGCCCACCATCCCATCATAGGTGAGGCCCAAAGTGGCAACCAGGACATAGGTGTGGGCACTGGGGTCCACTTCCTTCACATCAATGCCAAAGACCTGCTGCATGCACTCAGAGGCTGCGCTGAAGATCTCAGGGAAGTGGTCCTGGTGCTCTTTGATGACCTTACTCAGCATTTCTGCTTTTGTGGTCGGCTCCTTTGCACAATACTTGAGGAGCAGGAACATCACCAGGCAAGCCTTCTTCAAACATAGGGCACCTTGGAGAGAGGACTCGGCCTCTTCAGAGCCCTCCCTGCTGCTTGCCCCCTCCTTATCTGGGCTGCTGGAGCCCTCATCTTCATATTGGCTACATGGAGAGGATGCCATGGCAGGGGGGGGAAAGGCAGGCACCCTGGGGGCTATGGGGAGGACTTGGTGTCTCAGCAGCAGCTGCCTACTCCAGGCTCTCTTGGAATAGTCTTGACAGGGAGGAAGAGATAGAGGAGGAGGGAGATATAGCCTCCTCCTCCTCTACCTCCTCAGGCCCAAGCAGCTGCACCGCCACCAGTTCCTGGTTCTCCCTTGGGTCCTGATGGTCTTCCTCAGGCTTACAGAGCTCACTCATCTGATGGTGATGCATGATGACGTGTGCTGAGACAGAGTGTGGGAAGGTGGGCAATGGGGACCCACAGGCCTGTGAGAGAGAGGGAGTGTGAGGGGCCTCAGCTGAGAAACACACCTTAGGCAGATCTGACAACAGTGACTTACAGGTCTCTTATTTTAGGAGTGCTCTCGGGCTTCACACGGTTCTCTGCTCAGTGACCTGTCCAGTAGGATCCTGAAGGAGGAAGTGAGAAGGATCCTCAGGGTGCAGCTGGCACAATCCAAGGTCCTGGGAAAGACAGTGTGGTGAGGTTGGATTGGGTGCTGTGGGGTCTCCTCTGTTCTGGATGGGGGATCCCCTCCATGCTCACTCAGGGTCTTCACCAGTCCACGGGCAGGGCCTTCTTCTCCCCCTCTGCTGGCCTCAGACAAAACTCTCAGAACAAGACCACACACTCTGAGACTAACCAGAAGGATTTGGGGTGGCTCCACATCTGGCCATACCTGCCCAGAGTCTAATAGTTGTCACCAAGGAACAATAATGTGTGACCTTACTCTATTGATTCCATCTGTCCCACTAAGCCTTTACGCTGTCACTGTCCAGGAACTGAAACGACTCCATCTGCGGACCTGAGGTTACCCTCCTAAAGGAAAGGCCTCATCTCCATAGGTAACTGAGGAGGAAGTGAGGGGAGCCAGTACACCCACAATTCCAGGTCTCCCCATTCCAGGCAAAAATGGCTTGGCAGACCTTGGGCTCCATGTATGCTTGTTTTACGGGTCCCCTCATTCTGCACGGTAGCCACCCTGCCAACTCATGGGAACCTGACTCAACCTCTGTCCAGACCCTCATACCAAGGCCTTCCCCTCCCCCAGATCACCAATCTAAAAGTCAGGAGGGTCGTAGACTGACAGCCATGCCCAGGGTTTCCAGGGCTGAGAGTAGGGGCAGGCTGGATTTCTGTGGTGTCCCGTTTTTGTCTCAGGGCTTGGGGTACACCCACTCCTCCCTTGGGGCCCTCACCTTCACTTTGGCAACACCCAGGACTCTTCTCACTGTTGACCGAATACCCCTCCTCATATGACCTGACTTCATCCACTCACACCAAGGTCCTCACCTACCTGAGAGCCCCAAGAGACAAATGCGGAGGCACCACATTGCACAAACTTCAGGGGTAGCCTCAGGTGGCTACCATCTTCCCTCTCCACATCATCCCACCCCCGCGGAATCCCTGCCATCATCACAAAATGCTGGCAGCAGGGACTGGGCCCTTGTCCTGGTCGCATTCCCGGTGCCCATTTGGCTATTCATTATCACTGCTGCCAGGGCCTGCCCCACCTCCATGCCTCCCACCTGGGATGCTCTATCTCACCCCGCCTTATAGAAAGGCCCTTCCTCACCGAGGACGCCCCACTTTCCCACCCACGATAGTAAGGAGCGTGCCACTTAGGTCCACTGTTGTTCCTTTCAGGGTTGAGGACTGGGGACAGCTGGTCTTTGTACCACCCCTCCTTTTCTGAGAAGGGGCTGTGCATTGAGGCTTCACATGCACACCCAGAAGATCCTGGGACTAGTCCCTCTGCTGATCTCAGGTTATCTCTGAGACTGAGGTCCTCACATCCCCAAGATCCCCCCATCCACGTCCATGTGGCAATAGCAGGAGTTGGCAACATCCAGTCCTTTCTGCCAGGGTCTTCCCGGGTCTGAGAACAGGGCAAGCTAGACACTGTAACGTTCCTTCCCTTTGGAGTGGGGAAGCTGCACACCTTCCTCTCTCTCAGATGGACTTTTCTTGAGATCTGCCAGATCCTGGGATTCTTTGCTATGCTGACCAGATGTGGGCCCATCTACTGACATGCAATTGGCCTTCAAGCCTCACTGCCCTGAGAGCCCAAGGCAGAAGGAAGGGTGCACCACCTGAGGCTACCCCTGCCTACGGACTTCAGGGATGACAGAGGCAGGGCTGATTTCAGTGGGAACCCTCTGTTTGAGGTGCAAGTCCCCTCAGTGACCTGAAGACCTCTGCTGGATTTATTCTCGGCAGAGACTAGATCTATCCCTTCTCCTAACCTGAGAATGCAGCCTGCAGGCCAGGGCCGCCCTCTGCTGTCCTGAAGCCACAATCCTCAGACCAAGGCCTTCACATCCTGAAGACTCCTGAGGCAGAACTCAGGAAATATCTCATGTGGTTGTCCTGCTCTGGAGTCCAAGTGCAGGGCCACAGAATCAATCTCTGCTTGGGAGTTCTAGGTCCTCCATCCACCCTCAAGGTCCTCACCTTAATGCCCCGCAGAACCTGCCCCTCCCCCCCGCCCCCACGCCTCGGCGATCTGAGGCCCTGTTCCTGATACCAAGTTCCAGTCGCTCTCAGACCCACATGGCAGATGTCAGGAGATGCCACACGTGGTCATCCCGCCACAGAGTCTTGTACCACTGACAGCATGGTCAGGCTTCTGTGGGGGTCTCCTTGGTCCTCCCTTCTGGTTCTCACTTTGACCCCTGGGAGGTCCTGGGATTCTCCCTCTGCTGACTTGAGGCTTGGCTCCAGAGACCAAAGACTTCACTGCTCTGAGACACCCCACCCCCACCCCAGGGGAAGCCTGTGGACATCACATTAGGTGATTAAAGCTCTGGACTATAGGGGCTGATGGGAGGAGTGGAGATGGACTCCATGGTTCCTTGGCCCTCCCTCTCGTCCTCAATTGATTCCCAGCAGGACCTGGCCACTGTCCCCTGCCCACCTAAGTTTGCTCCCATTACCTCATACTAAAGTCTTAATCGCTCTCTGTCTCCTGAAGCAGTTTTCAATGGACGCCACATGCAGTCAACCTATCCAGGGTCTCCCATGGCTGACAGTGGAGATGGAGCTGGATTTTGTTCCTTCTCCTCTATCTGAGATCTAGACGACTCAGTTCTCCTTCAGGGTCTTGACACACATATGAAGAAGCACCTGTACACCTCCCTTTGCCAGCCTGAGACCACTCCCATTAGAACCAAGAGCTGGGTCCTCCAATGAGGAAGTTGGGGGAGGGTACAGCCTCACCACTCTGCCCTGGGTCTCTCAGCGCTCCCTCTGGTCCTCACCTTGATTCCAGGCAAATCCTGGGTCCCTCCCTCTGCTGACCTGATGTGGCTCCCCTCAGACCTTGTGGTTGACTCACAAATTCTCCAAGAAGGTGGGGAGGTGGGTTGCAGGAAGCAGTATTCAGCCAGTCAGCTCAGTGCCTGGGACTCAGGGTGCTGACAGAAGGGGCAAAGCTGGATTCTGTGGTGGTGGTGGGGGGGCAATCCTCCCTCAGGGTCATACCGGGACTCTCTGCAGGACTAGGTTCCTTCCCTCTATGGACGTGTAGCAATCCTCCAGACTTGGTCCTCGCCTCTCTCAGACTTCCGGGCAGAAGTCACTGAACATTATACCTGGAAAGCATTCGCAGCACCTACCATGGCAAAGAGGGAGAGTGAGCTTTTGTGGAGCTCTACGTTGGGGGTTCCTGGGTCCCCTCAGTCCTCCCTCCTGGTCCTCACCTTGACTTCGGCCGGCCCTGGGCCCTCCCTCTGCCTACCTGAGGCCCTGTTCCTCTCACTGAAACCCAAAGGCTCACTGACCCGGATGTGAAGCCATGGAGGCCACTTGGCTCTGGGCAGCAACTCTGCCCTCTCCTCTGTGGACCTGAGGCCCTGCACGTTTTATCAAGTTCCAAGCCTGGCTCAGACCTGCTGCTGAAGTGAGGGGACACTGCACATGTCATTCCCCCTGGAGCACCCCATGGCTTGTAGCAGGGGAGGACTTTTATGGGGTCCCGTACATTGTGGGGTCCAAGGTCACCTCCGTGCTCCCTCAGCTGACCTGTGGCCCTGCTCCTTACACTGGACCTGGATGGGGACGTCAGGAAACTATGCCTGTGGTCAGCCTGCCCACTGGGCCTCCCTGGTTTGAGGATTATGGGGTCCAGGCCCCCCAATCTCCCTCAGGGTCCTCAACTTTACAGCAGCAGGACCTGGGGTCCCCCCTGTGCTGCCTGAAGCTCTGCTCCTTCTACCAAATCCCCCGTGTCTCTCAGACCCAATGCAGAAATCACAAAGCACAATGCCTAAGAGCACCCCTCCCCCACCCCAGGAGGCCTGCCCTATGGACACTGTTCTGGGGTCCAGACCACCAATCCCCCTCAGGGTCCTCAACTTGACAGCAGCAGGACCTGGGG